TACAAGCACAGTGGGCAGGGGGAGGGTGGTGTGTAAAGCTGTTCCATTTTCTTTAAATAGAAATCATCGTAGAGAAGAGGTCTAGGTCAATGTTCTGGCCACAGCTTGCTTCTGCCACGGCTCACTGGATCTGTCATGAGACTTTCACCAAAATCTCTGCGTGTGCATTGCCTGAGATTTTACCCTCCGTACCTGAATGGCTTCCTACAGTCAAGTGGCACTGCATCGCTGCAGGAGGCAGGCGCGGGGGCTGGCTGGGTGGCTAAGGCAGGGAGGAGGTAGGGCTGGCTGGCTGATCTCTCCACGTCTCTCATTTTAGCAGGTTCATATGTCTCTGAGTTTCATCTCCTTCCCATCTGCTTTAGCTACAGGTTCATGACACCCTGGTGTTGCAATTTACTCAGAGCCTGTGGACAGATAAAGAGCTAATAGGAATTTTATCTAAGTATATTTTCTGCTAGCTTGGTTCAGACCAGGGACTTGAACCAGTCTATTGAGGTTTTGACGAATGCACTAATCACCCACCATTTGCTCTTCAAAGACAGTAATTCCTTAGTTATTCCTTTCTATCTGAATTAAGACTGCTTGGTTCACTGAATTTGTTGTTGCTGTGGCAAGTTTGCAGCATAGCCAACTGGGGAGCCTCCCTCTACTCACCCAGCCTGAGGGTATGGCCAAGGTCTGATCTCCCTGCCCTGGGTGCCTTCCTGCAGACATGAAGCCACAAAGGGGTGAGTTTGGTAAATGTCCCATTATCTCCAGCACATGAAATTATAGGTTCAAGGCATTGCTAGGGTACATAGAGCTTCCACGTGCTCCTGGATCAGCCCACATCCCATGTCTGTAACTTCTAGAGCAGGAACCCTCAAGGTCTAGCTCCTGGCTTCAGATCGAGCATCTCATTTGCTACTTTCTTTCCACTAAAAAGTTTCATCCTGCTGTAGTGAACTTGCCAGCGATGTTGGGAGATGCAAAACACAGATCATCTAGAATATTGTGTCTGGTCTCAGAAGGAAAAAAAATATTTTATTATTACAATTTAACTGTTGTGGTGGCAATGTTTTAGCAAGAGCAGAGTGCCAAACTGTCAAAAGAAGGCCCCATCCACACCCCAGTGAAGACGTGAGACTGTACGCTGGCAAACTGACTGCTTGCCTCTGGGATGGAAAATATTTCAATACTTTGCTTTGAAACTGTGCAGAGATGTTGACATTTAACCAGGGAAGATGCACACTATCTGCTGTAATCAACAGAGTGCACCCATAGATGAGTCAAATGAGACATTTTGTCAGTGCTTCGCGATTGTGTGAGGAAACGATCGTGGTGAACACCATCCAACTCTCATGCATGAGAATTACACAAATCCTGTAGAGGCCGTTTCCTACATAATAGGGCTTACAGCAACTTCAGCTAGTGCGTGGGCCTTCCACCAAGAACTGAATTTCACCCTTTAAGGTTAAATCTGGGTTAGCATGACACTGTCTGTCTAACATACCCATTTTGGATGAGAACACGATGCACATTCGCCAACGTTTTAAACACTGTGTAGAGTGACTGTATAGGGAGACCCATGAGAGAAAAGTAAATCTGGGAACTACAGCAGTTTATACCAAGTTCTTTAAAGCACATGAATAGTACTTGCCTGAAATGTTACTTCCTTGTACAAGATAAGATTTTCTTTAAGCAAAATTCAATATCAATCAACATTGCAATAATACTTTCAGGCAACTTCATGCTGTAAAGGTATCTTGGTAAAAATTGGAGTCTAAATGAATACTGAATGCCAAAGGTTGATAAATAGGCTGTCATTCACTATTTTAAAATAATTTAACATCCAGTGATAAGAATAATGAGGCAAAATAAATGGTTGGAAGTCTGAAAATTGAGAGATAGTATCCAGTGGTTAACTATGTCATCTCCATTCCTAGTCACAGGTAGATCACGTCCACAGTAGCAGTTTCATTAAATTCCAGCTACACCACCCATCCTGCCCTCTGCCTGCCGGAGCTTTGCCATAGCTCCTCTTCCAGTCTGCTTCGGGAACTGAATGCACCCCAGCCTGGGCAGGGACAGGGGCTTTTTGGTAAATCTGTTGCACTGCCTGCTGACGTTGGGCTCAGACTTACAGCATCTGGGAAATGAATCAGTTGACCCATTGGTCTTCTGCTTCCCCAGCACGGGTGAGACCGTACGGGGAAAGTTGCTTTGGTTCTGCTGTTTTGCCTCGTGGCTGGCGCAGGGCCGGGGTTTGGGAGCTGGGTGTAGGGGTCAGAAGGGGAGAAGTTTGGCAGCATCTTGACTACTGGGACAAGCTGAGAAAGATATATTTTTCTTGTGTATGCAGTTAGGAATTCTGATTTATTTTATGAACTTATTTTGAACTACAACCCTCAATATAAATGAAAACTTTCCTGTTGTGTTTAAAAACCAAGTCATATCTACATCCCTGAAGGCAAAGCCCAATGCCAGCACGATAACACACAGACAGGTTGAACCAGTTTGGCACAGCTGAACTTCTGAACTGGAGCTGGATCACACCCCACCACTTTGAAGCATAGAAGGAGGTAGCCACATGACTTTCGTCACTAGACCACATAAAGGCACCCTCAAAGACAGTGTCTGGACCTGCTTAGACCTAGGGGGCTGAACGTGACAGAGGAGCTGTTTCCAATAGCAGTAGCCAGGTGACAAGGCAGAGAGGAAAACCTATAGCTGCGGTACAATGATGGGATCGGTGGGGACGACCAGAAGGCGGGGAAGTTTGAAGGATCTGT